AATGTTTCTTTTTCATGTGAGAACGCACTAAAAAACAACCATTCTCATGCACGTAAGTTCGGGTTCTAACGCAATGTTTCTTCTTCACGTGAGAACGCACTAAAAAACAATCATTCTCACGCATTTTCCTTTTTCACAACACCTATAAAGGATCTAACGCATTTTCTCTTTACGTGAGAACGCACTTAAAAACAATCATTCTCACGCACGTGAGATTGGGACGCAAAACCCTATAAGGGATCTCACGCATTTTTCTTTTTCACGTGAGAACGCACTAAAAAACAATCATTCTCACGCATGTGAGATTGGGACGCAAAACCCTATAAGGGATCTCACGCATTTTTCTTTTTCACGTGAGAATGCACTAAAAAACAATCATTCTCACGCACGCGAGTTCGGGCTCTAACGCATTTTCCTTTCTCACGTGAGAACGCACTAAAAAACAATCATTCTCACGCAAGTGAGTTCGGGTTCTAACGCAATGTTTCTTCTTCACGTGAGAACGCACTAAAAAACAATCATTCTCACGCACGTGAGATTGGGACGCAAAACCCTATAAGGGATCTCATGCATTTTTCTTTTTCACGTGAGAACGCACTAAAAAACAATCATTCTCAAGCATGTGAGATCGGACTCTAACGCAATGTTTCTTTTTCACGTGAGAAGGCACTAAAAAACAACCATTCTCACGCACGTGAGTTCGGGTTCTAACGCAATGTTTCTTCTTCACGTGAGAACGCACTAAAAAACACTCATTCTCACGCACGTGAGATTGGGACGCAAAACCCTATAAGGGATCTCACGCATTTTTCTTTTTCACGCGAGAACGCACTAAAAAACAATCATTCTCACGCACGCGAGTTCGGGCTCTAACGCATTTACCTTTCTCACGTGAGAACGCACTAAAAAACAATCATTCTCACGCACGTGAGTTCGGGTTCTAACGCAATGTTTCTTCTTCATGTGAGAACCCACTAAAAAACAACCATTCTCACGCACGTGAGATTGGGACGCAAAACCCTATAAGGGATCTCACGCATTTTTCTTTTTCACGTGAGAACGCACTAAAAAACAATCATTCTCATGCATGTGAGATTGGGATGCAAAACCCTATAAGGGATCTCACGCATTTTTCTTTTTCACATGAGAACGCACTAAAAAACAATCATTCTCAAGCATGTGAGATCGGACTCTAACGCAATGTTTCTTTTTCACGTGAGAAGGCACTAAAAACAGCCATTCTCACGCACATGAGAACTGACCGGAAACTGTCAAACTCTTGCACGTGAGAAAGACGTGAGAATGGTCAAAATTTTGACCTATAAATAACTCAACACACACGCACACAGTGTCTCTCTGTCCAAAGACTATTCCACCTGAAACACATACAGTTGTACATTCCAGATAAACACATACACAGTGCCATGTCTCTCCTGTCAATCAACGTATTACATATGCATGTACACTTACTTGATTCCGTGGGCAGTGATAGTATCTTGTCATTAATAGATAATAAAAACTGTAAGAGCACTTCCCAGGTTTGCCGAGACATAATTTTGCTCTCTTTGGAGACTGATTGTACTGTTCGCAGCACACGATGGCAGAGAATCACTTGTTTCTTGCTTTCACCTATGTGTAGGAGACAATACAAGATAATGATATACACTGAGAATGTAACAGTAACCATACCAAAATCCACTGCTATATGGCAACTATTAGTGGGTTTGACTTAATCAATCCACATCTGTCAGACTATCTTATCGGCATCATGACCAGTTTTAGAGATCTTCTAAAAGTCAGTTTCATATTTACAAGCATTAGTAAATGCAAAAACTTAAAATTAAGTGTCATGCATGATCATGTTTTATTTGTGACAATAAAGAATTAACTACAACTGTGTGCATTTGAATTAATTACGTATATACGATCTAGGTAAAGACCAAACATAGAATGTGCAGTACTGATGACTTTTACTAATTAAGACAAGATACATGACAAAAACTTGGTAATGTTGTACACAAATAACCATGCAATGATTACATGACAAGAACTTGGTAATGTTGTACACAAATAACCATGCAATGATTACATGACAAAAACTTGGTAATGTTGTACACAAATAACCATGCAATGTTTATGTCGCATACGACTTATTTACCACTTCTGAGTCACTGAGAATGTTCTAGAACCGTACTGTGTCTGGGTGGAATATTCTAGAATTTTTTTAGAAACTGGTTGAATAGGTAATAGAACACTGTAGGAGGCAATAGAAGGTAATGGAATATTCTAGAAATTTGTAGTAAATTCCAGACTCATTATGTATGCTGATGTAATGGTCTATTTATAGACAGTGGGAGTATATATAGGGGAGTTGTTCAGCACTGAGTTCAGATCGGAGATCTCGTTGAATTGTATTGGAGTTTAAGTATCTAGTTATTGGAGTAGTGGAGTTTTACTGCGTTATTGTACTTGATGTTTGCAGAGTACAATAATACCAGTACCAGTTGAACCTCATCTGTTGACTCCGTGTTCGTATGTTATCATCGCGCCAGGGAAGTCTTTCTGTTACTGTTGCCATTTGAACATCACATCTGTACTATATCA